TATATATATATATATATATATATTAAAATGATCATTTTCCATCTTTATCTCAAGACAACACATCATAAAATAACAAAATTTCGTGAGTGCAAAAAATAGTTTACCGTCGTTATTTTAAAATTAAATAATACGTGACATAAATTTCAAAACAAAGATAAATATTCCAATATTATATAACAAATACAAAATTTTAGAAGATAAGAGGCTTGGTTCAATGATGGTGAGGTGGGCCGTGTGGTAGAAGTGAGACGTGGACCAATGACGATTAAGAGACTTTTTTTTTAAAAATGTCTGAGACCACCTTTCCACCCACACACAAAGTCGTTGTCCAAACTAATCCTATCCGTCCACGTCGCTTATAAACCAACGGTCAGGATGTGTTTTCATACGTGTCTTGTTGGGTCTGGTTGTTGATTGGACAGTGACGCTGCGACACGTGTCATCGCTACATCAAACTCTTAAGTTTCTAAATTCCTAAAATCCGAATAATTTAGATTTAAAATCGAATTACCCGAAATCTCCGACCCGGAGCCACGTGTATCGCCAATGCATTAAATATTAATATTAATTAGCACTCGCCATTAAATGTTAAAAAAATCTCAAAAATAAATATTGGGCCATAAAGCCCAAATTAAGGTATTAAGGCCTAAAAGCCCAAATAAAGCATACAAAGCCCTCTTTCGTCGCACTGAGGCAATTCTCTGGTCTCGAGCTTTCCACGGCGTCTTCGCTTAGTGACGGTGACGGTTAATGTCACCGCTCATATCTCTCGCCTTTTCCCTTCGAAAAATATCCTCTATCCAAAATCGGAAGCTCACGGCACCATGATTTCCGTTTCCCGATCGCCGTCAGTGGCGGCGGCGGTTCAGTCGTGCTTCTGCGCCGGCTCCTCTCTCACTGCTCTGTCTTCTTCTCCGGTGACGTTGCATTTCCCGCGCGGTACCGCGGCTGGGGTTCGGTTTCGTGTTTTCGCCGTGAAGACAGAATCGGACGGCTCGGAGTTGCTGAGGCGGCCGCATATTTTGTCGGAGGAGGATCAGAGTTCAGGTTCGGAAGAGGATGAGAGCGGCGAACATGGAGAGGCTGAAGAAGAGATCGTTGATTGGGAAGATAAGATCCTGGAGGTTACTGTTCCGCTTGTTGGCTTAGTCAGGATGATCCTTCACTCCGACAAGTACGTGCTTTGTTTCATGTATTTTGAATTAGCGTTTCGAGAGTATTTTCTGGATTTTGTTTATGTTTGAGCAGAAAAAATTAGCTAATATTATGTATCAGATGCTAAATCCATCTGTGGATTTCGGAATATTTATGTATCTTCGGCTGAGTCTTCTCATTGATCAAACTTGTCAGCAGATACGGAAATGGAGATAGGCTAAGCCCCGGACACGAGAGAACTGTTGTTGAGAGATTGCTCCCTTATCACCCTGAATATGAGGACAAGATTGGGCCCGGAATCGATTACATCATGGTACAAATTCCATTCCTCTTGATTTTGAAATGGGATTGTATTTGAGCTTTTCCAATTGTCTTTTGTCACAAAGAAACAATTTTTCTACTGAGATATGTTCAATTCTAGAATGGTTTTGATGAGCCATGGGTTTATAGGTTGTAAGTCTAAGATAATGATCTCTATGGTTTATGTTGTCTTATATCGTTTTCATTCCAAATCATATTAGTCTTCTGATTAATTTTAAAGTTTACAGCAAGTTTATACCCATAACATCACCTCTGAGCTAAGCCTGCGGTTCTCAATATGGCTTAAGTTCTCAACTAATTTACTTGTGGTTTTGTTTCTCGTTCCAGGTCGGTCGTCACCCGGATTTCGAGAGCTCCCGCTGTTTGTTCGTAGCTCGGAAAGACGGTGAAATAATTGATTTTTCGTATTGGAAATGCATAAAGGGTTTGATCCGGAAGAACTACCCTCTCTACGCAGGCAGTTTCATCCTCAGGCATTTTCCGAAAAACGTAGGATGAACGGATAGATCAGAGGAGGGGTAACTGAGTTTTCCACAGCTTCATCGTATAGAAACTCCCGCAGCTTCATTGGAAAGAGACAGGATGTTAAAAAAAAGGGTACAGAGAAGATGGTCAAGTTGCTGTCTTTGGTCCGGCCTTGTTTTGAACAAAGTTTCTATAACATCATGGATTCGTATAATAGCTAAAGTGTTGCTGCTACAGCCAGAGGTTTAATGGAGGATGTGAGTCATGCAATCTCTTCTCCTTGTTTTCTTTTTTCTTTTTTGAGATTTTTATACATTTTGTAATTGATCTTTAATGGGTTTTTTTTTCAAATTTGCACAGATTTTAATGTTGTTTAAGGGGATAAAACACCATTAAAGAGCTTATAATATCCTCTCTTTTTAAAACTATATGTTTATAGAATGGATTTTAAACCCTAAATTCTCAAATTTTAAGCATTTTATAGTGTGGGGGTGTATTTGATATTTCGTTTATATTTTGATTGGTTTAAACTTTAAAGTATGGTGAGATACTGATCCACTATTATTTTTTCAAATACAAAATATCTCAAGGGCCAAAAATGATTTTCAAAATTATTTTGTGAATAATTTAAACATGTGTTACATTATTATAATTTACAGTTAAGAAACAATAGGTGAAAAGGAATTTTAAAAAGGTACATTGTTTTTATTAATTCATTTTCTGTTTCTAGACTTCCAAGTTCCGCCGAATTAAACACTTCAACTCAAATTTCCAAATTATAAACTAAACCAATCTAAATCAGAAAAAATCAAATTATAATCTTTTTGAAATAATACTAACTTAAATCTATTCAGAACTAAAATTTTCCTCCATTTTTTTAAACAAATATACAGATTCATTTAAAAATATATTTTTGGATGGTTTTTTACCACAAGAATTTCATTCTTAATAAAAAAAAAACATTTTTTTTAGCACCAGAAGTTCAAAACTGCGTGGATAAGAGTAAGTAACCCCCAACCTATAACATTCGGATAGATTTAGTGGAGATGAAATATCTATCATAAATTATTACTGACCGGATTCCAAGTAGATATTTTTTTGGTACTTCCACCGCATACCCCAACACGATTCGGACAAAAACACATCACACTCATCGGTCTTGACTTTTGAGGTACCATAGTTTTTGTACTTTGTACATTTTTAAAACACCATTTTTATTATATGTTGAATTTGTGTAATATAATATGGTTGAAATGAAATTCTAGCTAGTACTTCTGTTTTGTATTATGGAATGCAAAGTCATATACCGGAATTTAAAAGCTTGATAAATGGGAGGATTATAGAAACAAGTAATGTAGCAGTCATTTCATAATTATATATGAACCAAACCAAAACGATTAGTTGGAGATGTTACTATGTACGGACGACTATGAGTTAGGTGTCTTCACTTCCAAGTTAATTGAGATTTTGGTATAACACATGCATATAGATATGATACCAGTTTCGGTTGTTTCAATCACTTTTAATAAATAAAAAAAAATTATTATCACCATCATCATTATTATTATTAATAGAAGATTGAAGTTGATTTTAACTTTATATTTTTTTAAAAAAAATATACTCGTTCGATGATTTTTTAATATGAAAGTGTAAAAAAACAATTAGGAGTTTAAATATTAGAATAGATGAAAAAAGGTCAAGTGTAAGTGAAAAACAAAAAGCGTATGAAAAATTTTGTTTATATTATCAAAATTATAGTTATGAAAATATAGTTGCTTATATTACGAAAATACGCAAGTCACATATCATTACGTAAATCGCACATTTTATACTAGAAATAATCATTTGGGTTCAATAAAAATCGAATTCATTCATATCAAATAATATGTTGTATACGGGTGTAAGTTAATGTGAAATTGAATGAATATTAGTTTATTGAAATAAAAATAAATCTTAAAAATGAAACAAATAAAACAATTTTAAAATATAAATATCTTTTCTTACTAATTGCCTAAATTAAACCGAAATAGATATGATATAAAAATTATAATATTTTAAAATGAAAAAAAATCTAGATATAAAAATAAAAGTAATTAAAAAATTTAAAATTTAAAGTTAGAGAATTCATTCAATAAAATGTGAAAAGGACAAATTTGACTCCAAAAGATATTTAATATCCAAAGAAAATCAAACTCCGATTCCAATCCTTGTCACTAGATAAATATCACGAGCCAAAAAAAGATATTTACATATTGTGTCTTTTTTGTCAAAAAAGGATAATATTTATTTATCTGAATATATATACATATATAATAATATCTATATATAGTCATGGTAAAGTGGACATGGGGCGAGGAAAAGAGATATTTTCTGCCCAACAAAAATATCTGGAGCAACAATCCCGCCAAATTGACCGATGCTGACGTGGCAACTCTGCCACGTGTAAAAAGCGGTGACAACTGTACCGCTCTTTTTTTTTTATCCTCTCTCCCTTTCGGCGATATTTTTCTCTCCGCCTCTTTTCCACGGTTCAAAAAGATCAGAGCCAATGGTTCGTGGGTACAGAGGAAGCCATAGCCGCGCCAGCTCCGACTCGTCCGAATCCACTCGGGGCGATTCCGGAGAGGATTCTTCTGGTGAAGAAGAGATGGCGTCATCCGTGGTATGAGTTCGATATCTATGATTCATTGTTCTTGCATTTCTTCGTGAAATCGGTGGTTTTCGTGGTTGAGATATGCTTTTTCTCCGATTTTGGAGGATGTATTAGCTCGTGATCTTCCGTTAATGGCGATGTTCTATTCTCAAGACTCTTTAGGATTATTTGGTCGGCGAAATGTTTGTTTAAGAATCCATAGAACTGTAGGTCTTCGATTCACATTTAAACAAAAAAAGAACTGTAGGTCTTCGACAAGGAGATTTTCCATGTACGAGGGGGCTTGTAAATGTCAATTTGGTTAATCTTAGACAATTTTAGTAAAAAAAAAAGGCGTAAATGGATCATTCCTTATTAAACTTGTGAAATCCTGATGATATTTGAGTAGGATCTTCCAATTAGCTGGTGTTTTTTCTTGCCAATTGGATCCACCTTGGTGAATATGTGCACCTGGGAAATTGAAATCACGTTTTTGACATTTTGCAGTACTCTGCTGGGAAAGTGAAGGGATCAACGGAATGGACAGACGAGAAGCACAGTTTGTATCTCAAATCCATGGAAGCCACGTTTGTAGATCAGTTGTATAATTCCCTTGGAAATCTCGGTTCGCATTGTAACAAGAAGAATGCGACCGATGAAGGGCCATCGAGACAGTTTTGCAGCATAAAAAATTCTTATCAAGAGCAGGTTAGAGACAGATACTCTATTATGTGGAAGCTGATTCTCTGATCTCGCAGCTTTACTCCTGTTAGAATTCCGTGTTTATGGTTTGCTCTTTTCTACTTTTGTCTCTAGTTCAAGGTTCATCGTGCTGGTTTCTGGCAGAGGATGGATGTTAAACAGTCCGAGTATTGCTTTAACAGAAGTGATGCTTGTCATGAGTTTCTTGCAAGTCCATGGATAAAGCATTTCAGACCTTTATCAGAGGGTCAAAGCCCAGAATGCCAGAAGCCTGAAGGTAGTTGGGATCCCGAAAACCGAATGATCTGCCCAAATTGGGAGAAGGGAATGGTCATCTGCAGTTCAGGATCAGCCTCTACTTTGAAGAAGAACCATTCGGGTCACTTTTGCCTCGGCGGCCAGGATCAAATCAACAATAGAGAAGGTACTTTTTACTTCTTGTCCAAATGGGTTCTTGTTTTCCACATATACTAGTTGTCGTGCAAAACTGAAATTTCCAAAATGTATCCTCTTTATTGATGGTTTAAGCAGAGGTGTCAGACCAGAACTTTGTCGACGAAGAAACGAAAGAAGAAAAAGCAAGCTCGAAGAAGATGAAGATCAGGATGAGCGAATCATCGAGTAACAATGATCAGGTAAACATAGTCTGATTAGTTAACAACATTACTCAATGCCATGATTGTTGATTCCCCGTCCTCTTTCCCGTCCAGGTCGTTCCATATGGAAAAGCTCCGGCAACATGATAAACACGTGAAAAAGTCATGTTTCTGAGCTGAGAAGCAAGAACATTTTTTGTGTGTAAATAGATTTACGCAACTGAAATCGAAGTAATCCTCTTATCTCCCTAACTATAATGCCCCTCGTGTCGAACTTCTTTGTCCATCTATGAACCCTATTTTCGGTAAAGAAGAAGAAGCTTTGATGGTGGAAAGAGGCTGAAGGAAGAAGAATTTCTCAAGGATGCAGTTTTATTTGTAATGCAGAGTTTCTGTCTGGTTAAATAATTGTATTTGTAGCTATAAGAGCTTGTGGACTCTTTGTGCTACAAGTGAAAGGCGTGTACTTTAGTTATCTTTTTTTGGTGTTGCTGAGTCGTTGAATTCGGTTAAAAATAAACCCGGTTCAAAACCGGTACTGTTCTGATAAACCGAACCGAAATGTAAACCGATCATAACATACACCCATCTGGTTAACGGATAAAAAACGTCATCTCGAGTGGACGATCCTGATACATCCACGTGGCAAATCCGGCGACTCGCATCATTTTATGTGGATACTGAAGTTTGGATAAACAGTGTCAGAACACCAAAGCAACAGAGAACGGAGAAGAAGAAGAGATGGCCGTTGTTTTACGTGGAGGCTGCTGCAGCGGAGGATTTCTTCTCCGGCGAGGCTTCTCCGCCGGAGACAGAACATTCTCTGCCGTGAGACGAGGACGATTCTGGACGGGAAAGTCCCGGGAGGGAAAAGTCGCGGGCGAGATCCTCCGGACGAGTGTCGGTTGGAGCCGCCGAGGAACGTGCGACGTGGCTCCCCGGGCTCGATCCTCCTCCGTACCTTGACGGAACGTGAGCCGTCGATTTCTTCATTTTCCTCTTCACTCCACCACAAAGATTTCTTTGTGGGGTTTGATGATATATATATTGCTTCACAGGTTGACCGGAGATTATGGGTTTGATCCATTGGGGCTTGGAGAGGATCCAGAGAGCTTGAAATGGTACGTTCAAGCAGAGCTTGTTCATTCTCGTTTCGCCATGCTCGGCGTCGCCGGGATTCTCTTCACCGACGTAAGTTCTTCAATTACACCAATCCATCGATTATTTTGAACCTGGAATCTGAATTGCTAATTAGGGTTTGTTTACAGCTACTTCGCGTTACAGGGATTCGAGATTTACCTGTGTGGTATGAAGCTGGGGCAACAAAATTCGAATTTGCAAGCACAAGAACTCTGTTAACTGTTCAGTTCATCTTGATGGGGTGAATTTTCTTCCTCTGTTTGGTGCATTGTTTATGAATCTTCAGATTTCGATAATGTATTTGGAGTAGACTGAGAATTGAGAACCATTCACAGGTTTGCAGAAACCAAAAGATACATGGATTTCATCAACCCTGGCTCTCAAGCCAAAGAGGGTTCTTTCTTTGGACTCGAACCCGCCCTCGAAGGGCTCGAGCCCGGGTATGTTCAATGCTCGGTTTCTTTCTTTCGCCTTTGATCCTGTTTCGTTATGCAATCTTGTTCATGTATGTCTGTTCACTGGATCCGATGAAAGAGTAAATGTTTGTATGCAATGTAACAGCTACCCTGGAGGACCTTTGTTGAACCCGCTAGGCCTGGCTAAGGACATTAAAAACGCCCACGAATGGAAGCTTAAGGAGATCAAGAACGGTTAGACTCGGAATTCTCAGACAAAGTTCCCCAACTGCAACTGTCTATCTTTTCTCTACTTTGCTACTCACAATGTTTTCGGACGTGGGTTTTTGAGCAGGTCGACTAGCCATGATTGCGATGCTAGGGTTCTTCGTTCAAGCTTCTGTTACACATGTTGGCCCTATCGATAACCTCGTTGATCATCTTTCGAATCCGTGGCACAAGACTATCATTCAGACCCTTTTTAACTCTTCTTCTTAGGTATGTTTTCTCTGGATTGCTATGAACTCTATCGTACATATATCCTGTGAAAACAGTCAACTCGTGTCCGTTTCATTCTTTTGTGAGGAAAAAAATCCATACAATTTGCCATAGAAATCTACAAGGGGCCAGAAAGTTTCTATATTTTCTCGGCCGGACAATACTGATAACGTTATTTCCCATATGAGTACAACAAATCTGTCTTCCAAGTGAAACCAAGAAAAGCATACATGGAAAGGTTCCGTCATTGTCACCTTCTTTATCAGAGGGTCAAAGCCCAGAATGCCAGAAGCCTGAAGGTAGTTGGGATCCCGAAAACCGAATGATCTGCCCAAATTGGGAGAAGGGAATGGTCATCTGCAGTTCAGGATCAGCCTCTACTTTGAAGAAGAACCATTCGGGTCACTTTTGCCTCGGCGGCCCTTTCCCAGTGGCTGTAAGACAAAATGAATCAGATGTGAAGAAAAGGGCGGTTGGCGAAACCTACCTTTGAGACAGGTCTTGACGAACATCTCATTTGTCCGATTTCTTTCTCGACAAGAACATGAAAACCTTTGGTAGCAAAGAAAACTTCTTCTTTTTCTTCTTTGTTTCAGGAACCATACTGTTATTATCTTCAGTTTCGGCGGTTTCCTGTTCACTTGGGGCCTCAGGTCCTGGTTTATGGGGAGAGCGAGGAGCTTCGGTCAACTGGTTGAACCCGTAATCCTTATGTCTCCATTCGGTGCTCGATCTCGGACTTCTCTCGAGCTCCACCTTGACTTCTTCTTTTCTCTTCTTCCCGTTTTCCGACCACCATTTCCGCAACTGTTGCTCCACTCCCAACTTCCCTTCTCGAGCTTTCTCGGCTTTTTCCATAGCAACTTTTAGCTCTTCCTTCCTTAGAGCCATCTCTCTGTTCACCTCCTCTAGTTTCTCCAGGATTCTTGACTCTTCCTCTTTAGCCACCTTGATCTGGGCGACAATCTCTGCAAGCCTTATGTTGGCCGCCTCTTCTGCCTCGTGTGCCCGCTTGCTTAGCTCGTAATATTCTTCCACCGAGATTATTATGCTTCGAGGCGAGTTAATACCCTCGAACCTTTGAGCGCATTCGCTCTCTTGCAAGGCTTTGATAGCCGCTAAGGCTAACTTCTCGGAAGCACGAGCGGCTTCCATTTCCTTTTTAGCCTCCATTAATCTGTTCTCTATGGTACGAACTCCTCCTTTTGCTTGAATAGACTCTTCCTTCGCCTTTCTCAGCTCATCTCGGGCAGCTTCGGCAAGAGACTTCGCCTCTTCCGCCTCTCCGGCCGCTTGTTGTAGCTTCTTGGCTATCTCTGCTAGTTCTTCTCTTGCTTCTTTATCCTTTGTCTGAATCGAACTCACATCTGAACTTATCTGTTCCAGCTTGTTGTCTCCCTGTTTCATCTCCTCGAGGGTCTTTTTCTCTCTCTCGAGTTCCGATTGTAAGGATGCGACGATTATCTTCAAGGTTTTCACCTCGGAAGTTGCATTCTCGATGTTGGATTTCACTTCTTCGAGCTCTTTCTTCGCCGAAAGAACTGCTGTTTGTATGTAGCTTTGGCCGCTCTTTCGCATCAGAGGATCACCATTCGAGACTTCTTCACCACAGAGATCAGGATTCTCCATGGAAGCAGCCACCAGTTCGCCCCTCAGATCTCGAAGAAGAGAGGAAGCGGTCTCGAGTTTAGCTTTCTCATCTTCCGTTGCATGAATCTCTTGGTTAAGCCTCTCGATATCGTCTTCTACCATCTTCAGTTCCTTCTCCCAATTGTATATGTCACGGTCCCGAGCCATGGCCGCCCCGAATCTCTTTTCCTCCGCTTCGAGATGGGCCGTATGTGCCGACTCCAGCAGCTCTTTCGTGGCCATTAGCTCTATTGTCAGTCCCTCCATCTTCCTCTCTATCTCCTTCGCCTCCAACCTGGCATCTTCAGCTTTCTTCGCGGCCAAATCTTTCTCCTTCAACAAATCTTCGTATTCCTTTGATACCAATCTGATCTCTTCTCTGACGGATTTCAGCTCAGAAATTGCGGAAGAAAGCCTCGCTTTCGCCACCTCGAGCTGAGCCTTGGCAGCGACGCTTGCCTCCTCTGCAATCCCTTGTTCCATCTCTTCCACGCGGAGCTTCGCGAGCTCGGTGTCTTGCTTCGCTTGTTGCTCCTCCTTCTGCGCCTTCTCGAGCTCGAGCTTCAGTTCCTCGATGAGCTTCTTCGTGTCCTCAAGTTCCTTCTGCACTTTCTGCTTTGCCTCTTCTGCCAACTCCGCCTGTTTCTTGTACTCGGGTATGTCTTCTTGCGTCTTCTCCAGTTCTTGATCCACCAGCTTTCGTCTCTAGACATCGAGAAATTCGACGTTAACCTGGAATACGTGACAAAACCCGAAAACATAGATGACGTGAAACCAGACATTGTATGTACCTCTATTGTCTGGATCTTATGAGCTTTCCAATCTGTGATCCCTCCGAACTTCGAAACCTCTTGTTTAACGGATTCAAAAGGTGCAGTTGTATCGATCACACCGATAATTTTCGGTGTTTCCGAGCTCGTCGGGGACCCAAAACGTGGAGACACCGGTGCTCTCGGGTAGACGAGAGCTCGGGCCGAGCCAAGAACTCTAAGACGTGGAAGAGGAGAGCGTCCTTGCCTCGGGGATTCGATGGAGATCCTCGCGTCCTCGATTTGATCGACTCGAGAATCGGTTGGAAACGAGTCCTGATGGCTTATCGCCGCTCGTGGGGCAACGTAAACCTTCGGGGTATCAGGTTGGTCGGAACTGCCATCTCTAGGTGCGTTTGGAACAGGGATATCGGCAAGAAAAGGATTAGAGGAATCGATGCCTTCCAAGTTCAAAAGATCGGAGACGGATGAGTCGAAGTCTGTAGGGTTCATCGAGGACGTAGAAGATTTCATCGGAGCTTTATCTTGTTCATCTTCTTCACCATTGCCATGGAGAAATGTGAATATGTCGTCGGAAACTTTATCATCACCCATCACAGAAACTCTGAAAGTTCAAAGCTTTATTTTGATTAGAAACAGAGAGACATACAAAAGATTCGACAAACAAGGATTGAATATGTTCCATTGTTCTTGCAAAATCTCGAACGGGTTTCTTATGTTTTCTGCAAATGCACGTTTTGGGCAAATTGCAGAGATTTATGCAATTCGTGTTCATCACATTCTCGAAACTTTCAGAAGATTTCACCAACATTTTCTTTATTAACATCGTACCTTCATCAAACTCCGACAATGCGACACGACACGACACGAAGCTAAACAAGCTCCGTTTCAATGGAGGTCGAAGAAAAAGAAACTTGAAGAGAGATAAATTAGGGTTTTTGTTTCAGATTATTTTTTCTGGGAGAGAATAGCGTATTGATCACAATGCATTAGAGCTCGACAACGAATTCGAACAAGACCACCAGATGAGAAAGAAAGATTCAGAACAAAACCAGAAGAGACAGACAAGACATGAACTCTCGAGAGGAAGAAGAAGATGAAGATTTTTTTTTTTTTTTGGTGATAACGAAAGTCAGGAGAAAGATAAAACAGAGGGAGAGAGAATAACGGAAGAGAAGCAAAGCGTGGAGCGCACGCACCTCTCCTCCCTCCTCCTCCCCCTTCATTCCAACAGCTCTCCATCTATCTGTTTCATTTCTCGTTTTATTTATTTTTAGTTTTTTTTGTTAGTGGGACGTGACAAACGAGACTTCAAGCCATCTTGTTTGTTTAATCTCCTTGTTTGGCTTAACCGCATTTGTCTTTCAAAGGTTGGTTGGGTTCGATCATGCTTTTAGACTTTGGTTTCGGTTTGGATTAAACCGAAAATCCACTTGAATTGAAACCGACTTGAATTAGATTCGGTTTAAATTGTATAACAAATTTTTTTCTTATTCAACCGGTGAAATGCGGACGCAAAATATTTGTCTCGCTCCGAATTCGAGTATCAAATTAAATATAGAAACATAATTTTAATCACATGGTTTGTTTCGCACTCCGATAGTAGTATAGACCTTAGCTCAGAACATTCGATTATCCAAAAAAAAATGTCTTCAATTATCAAAAGATTATGTTTGCCTTATTAAAATATTGAGTTACTTTCTATTTTATATACTAAGTGATCGTCAACAAGCGTTTAGTTTTAATAGTGATATTATATCTTTTAAAAAATGAAATTAAGACTAAATTTACATGTTAATAAAATAGTGAAAAAAAGATTTATTTAAAATAGTGAAAAAAGGTTTATATAATAAATTAACTGGCAATAAACTTAAGTCATATCTCTAATTTCAGGGGGGAAAATCATTTTTTTTATTTAACATCAAAAGTTTTTTTAAAAAAAGTAAACGACTAAAAGGCAAACCAAATATTACGTGGCATCTTGGCAAATTCTGAATTACAACGCACAGTTTCTCTCTCTCTCTAGATCGATCTGGACCTTCAGGTAAATAGAACTTCAATTCTTCACCGCCATTGTTAAAAATTGAAATTTAGTCGCTATTATTAATTAATTTGATTCATCAAATCGATTATTTTGATCAACAACAACGGGACGAAAACGCCACCAAAGCAAATCATATTTCGGCGGCGTCTTCTTGCAACATTTAATGGCGGTTTCTCTCTCTCGGTCCTTGGCACTCTCCGATCATCCCAACAGAATATGCTCTTTTTCCTCCTCAGATCTTCTCTCTTCGTCCATGTCCGAAAGACAAGGACTTTGAACTGGGTTTTGTCGCCTATCACCCCAATTCTCTCTCTTCATCTTGTTCGTCGTCCGTTTGATTTCTGGGTTTTGTTGGCATCAAACATTTTTCGTGCCCTTTTGTTGCGGGATTCGATTCCTGGTCATGGTCTGTCAGATTTTGTTTCTGGGTATGCCAATGGCGGTGGTTTCGAGGTATAATGCATGTTGATTGATCGACCCTGACGATCCAAGGTTCTTCATTTCGGTTCAAGATACTGTTGATTCTCGATAAATGATCAAAATTTGGTAGATTTTCGATCTGGGCATCGAAGAAAACTGGTTTGAACGATGAATGTCGTGGGTAGAATCGGGAGCTATATTTACCGTGGAGTGGGTACGGTGTCTGGTCCGTTCCATCCCTTTGGTGGCGGGATTGATATAATCGTCGTAGAACAGCCCGACGGGACGTTCAAATCGTCTCCATGGTACGTTCGCTTTGGGAAATTTCAAGGGGTTTTGAAGAACAAAAGCAATGCGATCAAGATTGATGTCAATGGCGTGGAAGCAGGGTTCAATATGTATCTTGCTCATACAGGGCAAGCTTACTTTCTCAGGGAAGTTGATGATGCTGTCGGAGAAGGTGAATCCTTGTTATACCCTTTGTCTGATACCAAAACCTCTAATGCTGGTGATGTTAGGGTACCATTGAAGTCGAAAAGCTGTAACTATGATGCCGGTAGTCCACGGAATAGTAACGGGAAAAGCGTTGGCAAGCCAGGGATTTTAGGGTTTGCGTTCGGGGGAAGGTCGGTTAGGGAGGATCCGTGTCTGATAGAAGCAGAGGAAGGTGATGGATCATGTGTTAGCTCGATGGAACGGGCCCAGATTGCGGCTGATCTCTTGGAGGTTAAATGGTATACCAATCTCAATACCCGTATGACCATCAAAGCAAAAGTTTCGGGATGCAGTCAGGCAGCCAATGGCAACGGTAAAGGCAGTGCTCAGACCAGTGCCAGTGAGATTAGCTTGGACGAGGCTTACGGGTCGTTTTCTAGTGCCGATGAACCAGCGGAGGGCAGGTCAGAAAGTAAATGTGTAGAGCCATTGAAAACCTTATCGGATAGCTTTCAGATACCCGAGGAATCCGCTGAAAGATCCGAGACAGTGCAGATTCTTGATCAGAATGGCATTAAGTTACTCAGTCTATGCGAAGCAGCAGAAGGTCTCGTTCTTGTCGATGGAAGCTCGTACAAAGCCATATGCAATGCATTGTCTGTTCCTAGCGAACGAAGCAGAAAACTGGACGTTTATGTTGAATCTATGGGCATGACGACAGCAACCGACCCGCAAGGACAGGTTCGTCGTTAAATTGATCTCATTCTTCAAAAGTTGAGTATGATATATAGTTTCAGTCCATCAGCAAATAGTTAAACCTGGAATCTTAGCTAGATTTGATCACTGTTGTGGAACTGATGTCTTGTAATAACTGTATCTAACCAGGATACAGTTACAGTATGTGCTCTCGAATTTGAGCGGACCCCTCGTGAAGGAAACAGCCCGAGCCTTAGGGACGAGAATAAATCCATTGAAGAAGATGTACATGCTTCTCCAGGAAATTGCGAAGATTGTCCATCAACAAGTGTGGAAAGCTACCCACAATCAGATATATCGGAAGAAGAACAATTTACGTTTAGTGATCTTGATGAATTCAATCATGGTGGGAATGGTTCCATGAATTCAAATTCTCCTTGTAAAAATGTAAAGGAGATCTACGAGGAAAATGACATAAGCCGGGAGGACCCTGCGGAGAAATCAAAGGTTGTATCAAAGCCGATCGATATCCATTGCAATGATGAGTACTCTCGGGAAGAGGAGGAGCAACAACGGGTAGAATCGTTACCCAATATGCAGCTTCGAGCTCCGAGTTTTGATCCCGATTCTTGTCAGCCTTTCAGCAAATCGCTTGATTCAAAGTCTAAAACTTTGAAATGGGGTTTCAAAAAAGACGAATACAGCTCGGAGAGTTTAGATGTGAAGGCATTCAAGCACATGCTAGATAATCCTGAAGTCGGTAAGAAATCTTCCAAGGTTCTAACATAATTACACTTAGTCCATACATTTTTAACGATCTATTTCCTTGTTGTCTTCTCCGCTTTAGTCGAGCTCTCTCTCTGCAAGCACTTGTTAAGTGAAGGAATGGGAGCGGAAGCAGCTTCTCGGGTATTCGACTCCGGAAAACTGGATATGAAGAAATTTCTTTCTTTGGGCCCGTCCTCCATTGTGAAGGACGATGAACTCATCGTTAAAATCGGTGGCTGCTATTTCCCGTGGGATTCTGCAGCTCCCATTGTCTCGGGAATGGTTTCTTTTGGATCTGACGAGAAAATATTCGAGCCCAAAGGCATGATAGCCGTTGATCGGGTTGAGAAGCCCGGTGATTCGGCTCCAGGAAGTGGAGGCTGGAAGATTTGGCCTTTCTCTCTCAGAACTTCGAGGAGCAGTGACAAGATTCAAGACCCTTTCACGTCTGAAACCGGAAATGACGAAACACGGAATGTATCGAAGCCAAAACCCGTTAAAAAGACGGTCAGAGCTCTAACCCCAACATCCGAAAATTTGGCTTCCCTGAATCTGAAAGAAGGAAGAAATGATGTGACTTTCACATTCTCCACAAATATGCTAGGCACTCAACAGGTCATTCTCTTTCC